GGGTTTGCATATCCAAAAAGCCACCAAATACTTGAAAGATGTCACTTTGAAGAAGCAATGTGTGTCATTCCGACGGCACAATGGTGGAGTCAGCAGGTGCGTCCAGGCCAAACAGTGGGACTGGACACAGGGTCGGTGACCGAAAAAGAGTGCTGAGTTTTTGCTGCACATGCTTAAAAATGCAGAGAGTAATGCTGAGCTTAAGGGTCTAGACATAGATTCTCTGGTCATCGAACACATCCAGGTGAACAAAACACCTCAGATGCGTCGATGAACTTACAGAGCTCACAGCCTGATTAACCCCTACATGAGCTCCCCCTGCCACATCGAAATGATCTTTAAGGAAAAGGAACAGATTGTTCCAAAGCCAGAAGAGGAGGTTGCACAGAAGAAAAAGATATCCCAGAAGAAACTGAAGAAACAAAAACTTATGGCAAGGGGATAAATTCAGCATAAAATAAATGCAGATAAAAGTAAAAAAAAGCTTCCAAATATAGAGTGAAGCATGTTATTTGCAGGGTCTAGGTGAAGTCTGTATGACTCTTGATTAAGTATGTCATTGAGTCCAATTTGCAGATGGGCACTGCGGCTCAAAGGCCAGTGCAAGACAGCTATGTTCCTCACCACATGGATGAAAACTGGGATGCTAGTTGAGTATGTGAAGTTTGCCCTCAGTAGCCTCAACTCCAGAAGGTTCCATTTTACAACTAATGACAGACTCTTAGCCAGGGAAGGTAGGGTAGGAGTCGGTTGTCTGGGGCACTAGGAGTTACATTACCTTTTGGGCTGGCTGGCTATGCTGTGGGGTAGGGGAACTGATGACCAGGGGCTGATGGACCAAATCCTCCTAGAGCTACTATGCTGAACATAATAACCCTGAGAAAAATCCCTGGGATAGGGAAAGGGAGGAAAGGGGCCACCTCCCTTGCTCTGGGCTCTATCTTTGAGGGCATCTATTTCACCAGCCAAGATGAAACTCAGGGACATGATCCTAAGAAACGCCCAGAGTCACCCAGTCTCTTCCCAGTGCCACGTTCTCAGCTTAGACCTCAAGGCAATTCTTGGTGAGATTTCAGGCCAATAGATGCCAAGATCTCAGTCACCATGTGAGAGGGAAGGGGGATGTGTTGGATTCTTTCTGGCTCACGCAATTTCTCTTCCCTCCCAAGACCAGGCTCCTGGCACCCAAAGGAGAGTCTGACACAAGGTCAGTGTGTCCTTTGAGACTCATCTCATTCCAAATGCCAGCCAACATTACCAAGACAATCTGCCCTTACCGGCTCAGCATCATCCTAAAGTCCCTGCTGGACCCATCCAAAAATGCCATAGGTCCATCCTGGATCATTAGCTATGGCTGTAGCCCGAGGCAAGTGTCTGTGCCTTTTTGTGATCTGGGAGCACCTCCTGATGTACCACTTCCCTAAATGACCACAAGGTGCATCACCTGTTTTGTTGGGCTTTGAACCTTATGTAGATGGAGTCATGGTGCATTTGGCCCTCTTCTCGCTGCCCTGTAGGATTCAGCATGTATATCACTCATTTGATTGACTACGGGCAGGTTTCCCTTTCATTGCATCTGTATTGTGCCTCCTTCTCTAACTACTGAGGATGCTCTGAACATCCCTAAACTCAGTTTTATCAGGCTGACCTGCTGATTGGAGGGTGAACACAATTCATTCAGGAGAGACACACTTCCAGGAACAGATCTCACCCAGAACACTTGCTACCCTTTATGTTTTCATCTAAACCTTTCTGGGCATGTGGCAAACCCTGGGGCTTGACTTGCATTCCTTTCTCTGCTGCTGAGTTACACTGCTTATAGGCCACCAGGGCCTCATGGGTTTTTGTTGTTTTGAGATAAAATCTCACCATGTAGTATTGGGTGGCCTGGAACTCTCTATGAAGACCAAGCTGACCTTGAACTCCCAGAAATCCAACTGCTTCTGTCTTCCAAGTACTAGGATTAGAGATGTGCCCTACCACATTGGGGTGTTGATTTTGTTTGAGTCAGAGTCTTCTTTATACAGGCCGCTTACTTTGCAGCCAAAGATGACCTGTGACTTCTGATCCTTCTATCTTCAATTCTCAAGTGTTGGGATTATAGGCATTCACCATCACGTTAGGTTTTATGAGTGCTAAAGACCAAATTCAGGGCTTTGTGCATATGAACTGAGCTACATTCCTAGCTTATGGGGTCTTTTTGGAAAACCACTTGTTGTCATAGGAACTCCCATTCTGGGAACACATCAGAAGGTCCAAAGTCAAAGCTAATAAAGCCTGGGGACTTCTCTCTTGGCTGTTCCTCGTCAGTTATCCTTTGAGTATGAGGACTTGGGTTTCTAAGAGCAACCTGGCATCCAGGACAGATCCTTCCTTGGGTCTCTTGTGTTGTTATCTTTACCATTAGGCTGTGGAGACCCTGCTCAGGGTAAGTGGCTATATCTCTGTCATACCTTTTTGCTTGCTCTAAGCTCTCTGCAAAGGGCTCTTTGGGACGCTGGGGAGGTGTCTCAGTGGGTAAAGTGCTTGCTGTACAAGCACGAGGACTGCAGCTTGGATGCTTGGAACTTGTGTAAAAAGCCAGGTGTACTTGTGTGCGTTTGTAATTTCAGCACTGCTAGAGACAGACAGAACCTGGTCATGAAACTCCAGATTCAGTGAGACTCTGTTAAGACATGACTTAGCAGTTAAGAGCACTTGCTGCTCTTCCAGAGGACCTAAGTTCAGTTCCTGGCACCCAAGTTAGGCAGCTCATAATGGCCTGCAACTACAGCTCCAGGGGATCTGATACCCATTTTTGGCCTTCACAAGCACGGGCACACACATATATACACATAAATAATAAACATTTTTTAAAAAGCTAACCTTAAGAAAAGTGAATACTGATTAGGACACCTGATAGTAGCCTCTGGCTTCCACAGGCATGGACATATAATGCATATGTACTTACATGCACATGTGCAAACACACACACAGGGCTCGTTAGTATGTGACATGCAGGGTTGCATCAGAGAAATTAGGAGTGGGGTGGACCCACTGGATTCAGGTTATGTGAATCTCTAGAATGGGAAATACAAATAATGGGAGCATGAGAAAGTCATGGATATGACAGGGAACCAGACATGAGTAGGCTCCCAGACCTTATTACAACTGACTCCACAGTGGAAGTACCATTCAGGCCATAAAACTCAGCATGTAGATAACACTGCCTGCCAAAATGAAAACAAAGACCTAACCCATCAAGTTTGTAGTTCTGGGAGAGCTTCTAAGTGCACTAACCTTGCTTTTTAGCTTCTGTAGCTCCACTTCTGGCTAACTGTTCTTGGTTTGCCTTTTTTTTTTTTACTTTATTTTATATGCATTGGTGTGAAGGTTTCAGATCCTCATGTGGGTGCTGGGTCCTTTAAAAGAACGCCACTGCTCTTAACTGCTGAGCCATCTCTCCAGCCCCTTGTTGTTTTGTTTTTTGAGACAGGGTATCATCATGTGCCTTTGTTTGGCCTGGAACTCACTTTGTAGACCAGGCTGGTCTTGAACTCATAGCAGATCTATCTGCCTCTACTTCCGGAATGCAAGGACTAAAGGCATGTGCCACCACACCCAGAAATGGTGGGATTCTTGCTTAGCATGTATGAATCCCTGGCTTTGGTCTCCAGTGCTGCAGGTCAGCCTTATTCCTCTCTGCAGGCAGTCCCAGTCCCGTATGCCTGATGCCCCCACCCTCGGGCTCCTCTTGCCCCCGGACATTGGAGTGTAGTCATTCTTAGCTGAACTGGCAAGCTCGTGAGGACCTGTGTCTACGTTTTCACCTAAGGAAACAGAAGCAGGAATTGTTCCTTCCCTGCCGCTCCCAGGGCAGGCTTCATGCTGCCTTTGCATTTCTTTTCCAGAGTACCCTCCTTCCCAACTCTCTTGGTGGCTCCTGGTCTGGGGTAGGAGGTGGACTTGGCTTTTGACAGCAAGAGGGGGACAGTTAGTCACATTACTTTAGCAGCTTGCCTCATAGCTGGTACCTCCCTGTTTGTGGACTGTGGCTGGGGTTGAGCACTGGACACAAAGGCCACAATGTTCAGGATGCAGATTCTCGGTGTTTGGATGCCTTAGAGTTCCACACTGGAACGGGAGAAAGGGTGCAGCTTCCAGCTCTGCACTCAGATCCTGACTTAGTCTCATGTGGTCTCGTGGCTCCTTTGGGCTGAGTTGTGGCCTGCAGCAGGAAAAGAACATCATCATGTTGCCCTGTCCTGTGAGAAAACAGGGACACTTTCCAATGGCTGAGTCAAGGCCAAGGGTCTAGAGGGGGTTGGTCTCATTGCAGTGTGTGAAGAGACAGCTGGTAGACCTGGCTCGAAATGAAAATAGGACCGAGCTCTGAATCAACCTGTACTAGAGCCAGCTACTTGGATCAAGTCACTCCTTGGCTTTGAGCCAGGACTGGCTTTCTGTCATAGTGCCATCAGACTATTCCATGGGATATGGGCAGATGGGCAGCTCGCAGGCATGGGGAGGACTGGGAGGGATTTTGCTGGCTTCACTTGAGCCTCGTTATGTCCAGAGCTGCCAACCCTTCTTCCCAGAGCAGAAGCTTGCTGCTGTGGACAGGTGGCTGGGATGACAGATGACCTGATAGGCAGCCTACATACTCTGGGAGCCCCAGTGAGTGGGCAGGGACCTTTCCCATTACTTGGGTTGGTTGATGTTTATTCCTAATACGTAGACTTCTCTGGTCTAGATTTGGCCTCCTAGGGGATCCTACAGGTCCTTCCCTGTTTTCTACATCTTTGCCCTTGCCCTCTGGAAAAATGATTCTGGGGTGTAAGGTCTAGGGAGGTCACATCTGGAGGTTCTGAAGAAAACATTAGGACGGCAGCCCAGTAAAGAGCCATGCACTAGAGATAAAAGAGGGTCCTGGGGGTGTATACCCCTCTTCTCCCTCAAGTCCCGAGGTGGAGGGTATGAAGCATACAGGCCCAGGATGGAGCTGGGACAGAGTCTGCACATTGTGGACCTGGACTTTTATTGCGGGACCAGGGGCACAGTACAGGAGGAGGACAAGAGGACAGGCACGTGTGAATAGGTCAGATGGGTCAGAATGGTCAGTCCATGGTCCAGGGGAGGAAGAGGCCAGAGTCACCCATCTTGGACTGGTAAACAGCATTGAACTTTTCATTCAGCTCAGGAGTAAAGTGTTCCTTCCAGTCTCCAACAACACCTGGGGGAGTAAGGGTAGATGTCATGAGTCAGACAGGGAGAGAAGACATCAGAGATACACCACAGTCAACCCCTGAGAGACTGACCACTCTTTCTCCATCCCCCTGTAGGAGGTATGTACACCTCCCACCTGATACCTAGGAATATGACTTGATTTGGAAGTAGTTTAAGAGATGGTAAGAGTGGCCTAACCTAGTGACTGGTGTCGTCATCAAGCATGGGAGTAGTCTAAAGTGAGGCAACCAGACAGGGAACACTGGAGTATAGGAGTCAAAGAGGCAGAAGGAGCCTCCAGAGGGAGCATGGTCCAGGAAGGCCTTGATCTGCCTCCATGGCTGTGTGAGAACATCCCCTAGTCTGTACGCTTTGGATGTCAGCCAAGGGACGTGTTCATGAGCACCCATGGCTGCCCCTTCCTAAAGTCACATTTAACTGGGGGCTGGAGGCCAGTGCCTGGGTTCACGGACCCCTTAAGACCTATCCTGAGGATTTGTCCTGTTGGAGACTTTGGGGATGGTTCTAATTCTTTTTTTCTTTTCTTTTCTTTTTTTTTTTTTTTGAGGCAGTGTTTCTTTGTATTGTTTTGGAGGCTGTCCTGGAACTCGCTCTGTAGACCAGGCTGGCCTCTGCCTCTCGAGTGCTGGGATTAAAGGCGTGCGCCACCAACGCCCGGCCGGTTCTAATTCTTTTGACTGTTAAGAACACAGACATGAGGTCCTGGTGTACTGAGTGGTTTTTATCAGCAAAATATACTTTCAGTTGCCATGGGAACCCCACAGGCCCCTCCTTCTTTTCTACATCCAAGCGTCCCACAGATACTCAGGTAGATAAAGACCTTTTCCACAACCCACTCTTCAGAATTGTTTGGGTAGGGCTGGACTCAGGTAATCCTAGAATGGATAATGGTGAAGGTCAGTTTCTTCTGGAAGAGTTGCCAGAGATGGAATTGGGGCACTTTCTGAGAGGTATTTGGAAAGCTGGATGGCTCTGGGAGGAGAGGTTTGAGACAGAGCTGTATCCTGGAGCTAAAAGAAGACCACCAGAGGAGAATGGCGCGGGGCAGGGACTATCCTCAGCATTGCACTAATGCTGCTGAGGAATGAGGAAGGCTGGGGAGGAAGATACGGAAGGCAAGAAGACAGGGTAGGCTTAGGGGCTGTAATCAGATAAGAAAAGATGGGATACCAAGCGAGCGGTGCACACCTTTTTTTTTTTTTTTTGGTTTTACGAGACAGGGTTTCTCTGTATTGTTTGGAGGCTGTTGGTCCAGCCTGGCCTCGAACTCACAAAGACCCACCTGCCTCTGCCTCCCGAGTGCTGGGATTAAAGGTGTGCGCCACCAACGCCCGGCAGTGGTGCACACCTTTAATGCCAGTACTCAAGAGGCAGAAGCATAAGGATCTCTGTGAGTTCGAAGCCAGCCTGTGCTACAGAGCAAGCTCCAGGACAGCCAGGACTACATAGAGAGCCTGCCTCGAAAATACACAAAAGATGGGGGTTGACTGGTCCCAGGATGGGCCCTGGGCGTTTGAATGGAGGCCAGGAGGGAGGCCTACCTTTCCTCAGGAACTTGCCCTGGTTTTGGTCTATAATCTCCCTGGATATAAGGCTGTAGTTGACCATGCTACTCTGACTCATGAAGGAGAAGCTGCAGTGTTCCAGTATGACATCCTCCTCTTCTGGTGCCAGGGGTTGCCCCAGGAATTCACATAACTTCTGGATGGTACGGCGAGGTTCCTGGACCCAGAAAGACCCAGAGGAGTGGATACATATTTAAGACATTAAAATAATCCAAGTAGGGACTAGAGAAATAGCTCAATGGTTAAGGAAGGGTACACACTGCTCTTGGGAAGGACCCAAGCTCACTTTCCAGCACCCACAATGAGCAGCTCACCACCGCCTGTAACTGTAGCTCCAAGGGATCCGATGCACAAATACCCACACAGACACACATACATGAACACATTTAAAAATAAAAGTAATAAGCAGGGCATAGTGGCTCACACCTTTAACCTTAGCACTCGGGAGGCAGAGGGAGTTCCAGGACAGCCCCCAAAGCAATACAGAGAAACCCTGTCTCGAAAAAACAAAACAAAACAAAAAAACAAAAAGAAAACAAAAAAATTTCAGTCTCTTTAAAACATCCAAAATCTCTTTCAAAGTTCAAAGCATCTTTAAGAGGGAGGAATCAAACCATATTCACAAATCAAAGCAAAACCAAAACTCGGGCTGGAGAGATGGCTCAGAGGTTAAGAGCATTGGCTGCTCCTCCAGAGGTCCTGAGTTCAATTCCCAGCAACCACATGGTGGCTCACAACCATCTCTAATGAGATCTGGTGCCCTCTTCTGGTGTGCAGGAATACATGCAGACAGAATATTGTATACATAATAAAATAAGTAAATCTTTTTTTAAAAATTCAACAGTATAACAAGTTCAGAGTCTGATGGTGGGGACCCACAATCCTCTGGGCTTCAGAACAACCTTAGCAACTCCACCTCCCCAGCTCTGCCATCCAAAGCATACACTCCCATGTGCATATGTATGCATGTATGTACATGTTTATATGTATATATGCTTGTATGTGAGGCAGGGTTTCACTGTGTCCTTGCTGACCTAGAACTTGCTGGATAGACCAGGCTAGCCTTGAACTCACAAGCTGAGACTGAACTTTTAAAGAGGCAGGTGGATCTCTGTGAGTTCGAGACCAGCCTGGACTACCAAGTGAGTTCCAGGACAGCCTCCAAAGCCACAGAGAAACCCTGTCTCGAAAAACAAAAACAAAAAAGAAAAAAAAAGAAAAAAGAAAAGAAAAGAAAAAAATTTACTCTTTAAAAATTAAAAAAAAAATGGTCAGATGGTGGTGGTGCCTTTAATCCCAGAACTCGTGAGGCAGAAGCAGGCAGATTTCTGAGTTTGAGGCCACCCTGGTCTATAGTATGGGTTCTAGGACAGCCAGGGCTAGGCAGAGAAACCCTGCCTTGAAAAACAGAACAAAACAAACAAACAAACAAATGGAATGTTTTATATTGTGATATTGCTACTAATATGAGATGTTTTGGATACAGAGGACAAGAAGACTATTGTTTAATATTAGTGTGTCAAGTTAACTAGGGGTCAGTTGTCTTGTGGCTTCTGTTAACTTGATGCTAACCTAGACATATCTGGGAAGAAAGAATCTTGAGAAAATTCCTTCACAAGATTGACCTGTAGGCAAAACAGAGGAGTATTTTCTTGATTAATGATTAATGTGGGAGATCCTAGCCCACTGTGGGACACAGAAATGAAAGCCCAGAGAGACACAATAGGGGATGTCAGAGTGTCTGGTCTCAGCCCCTGTCAGAGAGACACCAGGGGATGTCAGAGTGTCTGGTCTCAGCCCCTGTCAGATGCTGTGGCTGAGTAGTGGCCAACCAGATTCACACCACCAGCTGCCAAGGACAGGAATCAGGGTGTACAGCTCTCGACAACGGAAACCTCAAGTATTAATTTATTTCTGTGCTTAGGACATGTCGTATTTGGCACTTAGAGATGTCATATCTTTAAAGAATTTTTATCAAAAAAAAGCTTTGAAAATTGAGCTTTAATGTTTGTAGCAAAACTCATTCGGTTGGAAAGGCCTAAACCTCTACTGATGTGAATCTATTCATGATCGTCTTTGTTCCCCTTGTTTTAATGTCTTGAAGCCAAACGAACGTTGTCTTCTGGGGGTGAATGTGTACAGTTTCTAAGGCCCAACAGATCTTGGATTCCCAAAAATCCCTAAGCACACAACAGCTCAACAGCTGGGGCCAGGGCTGCAGGCGTCTGAAAGGTCAGGCTTGAGGATGTCATTTAAAACATACTGTGAAGAAGTGCATTTCATCTTGTTATTCTGAGCTAAAATCTTGCTGTTTACACATAATATTGGAACAGCTCAGAGAACTCAAGGTTCTCCGGCATCACGCATCAAATTGCTGGCTGTGCCAGGGTGGGCTGAGTAATCAGAAGGCCTGTCTGTTCCGTTAGAAAGTGCAGGACTGAAAGGAGGAGCAAATGGAGTGAACGCATTCATGCACCAGAACTGCTTATCGGAGCTTATCTACATTTTCAAGTGCAGCCACACACCAGTCAAAGATGGCTTTGATGAATAGACACAAAAATAACATCAATAGACTGAATGTATAACTTAAGGCACATGGGGAGACCAAAGAGGAGTCGGTTCTCCCTTCCGCCATATGGGTTCCAGGGATCAAGCCAACAAATGCCTTTATCCACTGAGTCATCTCTCTGGCCCCTAATTTTTTTTATACTGTGTGTGTGTGTGTGTGTGTGTGTGTGTGTGTGTGTGTGTGTGTGTGTGTGTGTGTTTGGGTGTGTATGTGTATGTGCATGCAGAGGAAAATCTCAGGTACCATTCCTTAGAGAAATCCATCTCATTAGTTGAGAAAATGTCTATCACTGACTTTCAACTCACTAAACAGACCAGACTGGCCAGCCAGTGAGCCTTGGGGATTTGCTTGTTTTGTCTCTCACCAAGCCCGGCTTTTTTATGTGGCTTCTGAGGATCAAACTCAGGTCCTCATACATATTCCAGGAGCACTTTACCGACTTAGCTATTCCCAGCCCTATAATCTATTTTTTTGTTTTGTTTTGTTTTTTCCAGACAGGGTTTCTCTGTGTGGCCCTTGCTGTCCTGGAACTCACAGAGCCTGCCTCTACGTCTTGAATGCTAGGATTAAGGTGTGTGCCACCGTCGCCCAGACCCAGACCCACAATCTTAAAATTGTAATGTACATTACAACTTCTTGAAACTCAGGCTGGAGAGATGGCTCTGTAGTTAAGAACACTTATTATTCTTGCAGAGGACCTGGGTTCAAATCCCAGCACCCACATAGTGGCTACAACTATGCATAACACCAATTCCAGGAGATCTAATGTCTTCTTCTGACCTCATTGGACACCAGACACACACATGGTACACAGACATACATGAATACAAATACTTATAAACATAAGATAAAAATAAAAACCAGACTGTGGTGGCACACGCCTTTAATCCCAGTACTTGGGAGGCAGAGGCAGGAGAATCTCAGTGAGTTCTAGGCCAGTCTGGTTTACAGAGCTAGTTCAGGACAGTTAGGACTATTACACAGAGAAACCCTATCTTGAAAAACCAAAATAAATAGATAAATGAAAAATAAAAATTGCTTGAATCTCCTACAAACTAGACTTACAATGGCTGCTACTTTCAGAAAGCTGGAGGCAGGCGAGTATGTCTGAACCAAGAGCAGCTAGAGATGCGGAAAGCACCAATGTCATTGGCAGTCCTGTCTTAGGAAAACAAGCTTCACAGAATGTTCTGGAAGAGTTGGGGATGCTAGGGCTTGGCTGTAGGTGGCCTGTTAAATAAGTGGAAGGGGTACCCACCTGGTGCAGCTCCTCATAGGTGACAAAAAGCAAATTTAGGTCCTTCTGGAGGCCCAGCCACCCCTTCACATGGTCAAACCAGGATCCGAAGAAGCCTGGGGAGGAAGAAACAGAGAAGCTGCTGCAGTCCCAGCTGCGTGTGGCGGGGACCCAGGAGGAGCAGGGTGACCTAAAGGTGACTAGAACAAAGAAGCAATCTGCCCACTAGCTACATGACAAGGAGGGGGCTCTGTGAGCCACCTCAGTCCCTGAGACCCACCTGTGCCCTCGAGAAACTCATCCACAAAATCTTCAAAGGAGTCAGGGTCAGGCAGGAAGCCAGCTATTCGGTGAAAGTGGTAGAAGGAAACGAGGGTGTCCTTGGGGTTCCGTGCCATGTACACCACCTGGTGGACAGAGTCCCGAGTCAGTTCTCTGAGGTTCAAGACCTCCCTAGCTGCTGTGACCTGAAGTGGCTGAGCCCTGGACCCCAGCACCAGTATGAAAGTGTGGGTGGCAAGAGTAGCACAATGCTGTCCTAGAGCCCCCAAAACTGTAGTGGTGAGTGGGTGCCGGACCTGGTTACTGAGCAGCCAGAGATAAGGTCTTGTATGGCTAATGAATGGGTAGCCCCTGGGAGCGGGTTTTCATTTCTTTATTACATTATTTTTTTTTTTTTGTAGGGGACATTGTTATTCATTCCCTCAGGTTCCAGGCAGCTGATGGCCACTGTCACCTCACAGGGTTAGTGGGCCTTGCCTAGTAAAGTTCTACCAATCTCCAGGTCACCTGGATACTGCTGGGAGGACACTGGCATGGACCTGGGTCTGCGAGACCTACTTGAGTTTGTCTGGCTCCTCCCCACCCAGGTAGAAAGAGATGTCTCTTCCCCAGAGCCCACCACTGGTCGAGATGGATGACCCTGACACTCACTGCACCTAGACAGGTTCATCTGTCCTCCCCCCTCTGGCTTGGCTACACTGCTGGCCTGACAGAGGCTTCCTGCTGTATAGACCCTGCCGCGACTCCAGCCCAGGTCTGATGCTGCTGCAGTTCTAGCCTCCTACGCTCCACGTTCTTCATCCCAGGACTTGAAGGTGAAGCCATATCCTTTGGGCCCTTTTGACCTTTTGACCCCAAGGCCTGACTCCACCTTGGCTCTTGTGAAATGCTAAGGAATGAGAAGGCACCTGCTTCCTACCTTGGCTTTGGACGTCATCAGAGCTGGGGCCAGCACCTTGGCACACAGGTGGGAGGTAAGCAGACGAGGCCAGGAGCTGTTAAGTTTGGGAAGGAGGCTGCTAAAGGAGATCTGCTCCATCCAAGGCATGCGGGCCCAGTTGGGGAGGTGGTGAATAGGCCACAAGTGGCCCTTACAGAATATAAGACTCAGTACCTGCTGCATCCATGTGGTACCTGCAGGACAAGGGGTGGAGTAGGGGGTGGGGCAGGTGATGGGGATGTGGCTACTTCTGCCTAAGACATTGCATACCTTTTCTTTTTTCCCCCCTCAGAGTAACAGATTAATTAGATGCATTATTAACAGAGTAACCAGGATGTCTCAGGCTCTGAAGCAAGCCTAGTCCCCTACTTTCACTGTTCTACCTTCCACAGACCACAGACCCCAAATCTGGCCAGCTGAGTGCTCCATCACTCTGTAACATGTTCATTATTGCTATTTGAGACCTTAAGCAATATTTTATTTATTTTTTGTTTTTGTTTTTTTGAGACAGGGTCCCTCTACATAGCCCTTACTGTCCTGGTACTCCATATGTAGACCAGGCTGGCTTTGACCTCACAGATCTGCCTGCCTCTGCCTCCAGAGTGCTGGGACTAAAGGCGTGCGCCACCACACCTTGCCTTCAGTATAGTTTTTATCATCTGTATTTCTGCTAACATTCTGTACATGAGCACTTAGGAGTTTTCTAGTCCCTCTCCCCAGCCACAACTAGATAACTTCAATTTAGGGGTTTTCTAAAGAACTTGGGCTTTCTCCCCCCTTCTGTATTCCTACAGGGGGAACCCAGGGCTACGTATGAATTAAGCAAGTGTGTGTGTGTGTGTGTGTGTCTATGAATGTTTTACTTGCATGCATATCTGTTTGCCAAATGTGTGCCTGGTGCCTGTGGAGGTCAGAAGAGGGCATCGGGTGCCCTGGAACTGGAGTTACAAGTGGTTGGGAGCCACCATGTGGGTGCTGGGATTCAAACCTTGGTTCTCTGCAAGAGCAGTCAGTGCTCTTAACCACTGAGCCATCTCTCCAGCCCCTCTTCCATGCATTCTATCTTACAGCCCTAACTTATTACTAAAAAGCTCAGTGGTAGATCACTTGCCTAGCATCATGAAACCTTAGGTTTTAATCCTTGTCCCATAGAAACAAACAAAACAAAACAAAGCAAAAAGACCCAGAGTCTGGAAGTGGAGAAATGGCCCGGTAGTTAAGAGCACTGGCTGCTCTTCCAGAGGATGTGGATTTGATTCCCAGAACCCACATGGCAACTCCCAACTGTTTGTAATTCCAGTTCCAGGGGTGTGACAACTTGTCCTGGCCTCTGGAGGCACCAAATATGCATGCATCATAAAGACAAACATGCAGACAAAGTACCCAAATGCATAAAAGAGTCATAAATAAAACTTTTTAATTAAAAAAAAAAGAAAATCACTTATCCTCATGCACCCCACAGTAGCAACTTAGAGGTAAAACAGCAAAGAAAACCCTACTATAGTAGTGACAGAGACCAGCAGGAAGGAATGTGTAAAAGCTATGTGGGAAGAGTGTTCCCGCCTCTGTGAAGACATGGGGGTGGGCTGGGCAGATGGAGAATCCTCTGTCCTTAGACAGGATGTCTTGACAAAATAAACAGACCAGTTCTTCCATGTTAATCTGTAAATCAAACACAATTCCAATAAAAATACCTTCAGGTTTCAGAGTCAGACAAATTGGTGCTGAAATTATGCTGAAAAGAAACACATGGCAGCCAGGCCTCAGAACACAAATGGAGCTCAGTGGGAAACAACAATGGCTCCAGCAGGAAGCCTAGTGATAGACAGGAGTGTGTTCAGTAAGGGAAAGTTCAGAGCCACGGTTCAGTTCAACCCTCTGGGTCAACAGAGTAGCTCCCTGGCAAAACACAGCACGAGATCTGCACGTCACACCACACAGGAACAAACCAAGTGTGACACTGCAAACAAATGGGCAGATTCCTCTTTTGTTTTTGTTGTTGTTTTGAGATGGGGTCTCACTATGTAGCTCTAGCTGTCCTGGAACTCACTACGTAGACCAGGCTTGCCTCAAACTCACAAGATCCACGTGCACCACCACACTCAGTGGCAAATTCCTTTATAACATTCATACAGTGACTGTTCTTAAGTATAACACAAAATACTATTGAGCCCACTCAAACTCAGAGGCAAGCAAGTGCAAGCCTGACAATGCTTTGCTAGCCAGCACTATGACTTGAATCCAGAATGTCTCTAAAGGCCTGTGTTAGAAGGAGGAAGGAGACCCACGAGATGGGGACTGGTGGGAGGGCTTTGGGTGGAGGGGCGTGTTCTCTGAGATAGTACTACTCCAGTTTCTTCCCTCCTCCTCCTCCTCCTCCTCCTCCTCCTCCTTCTCCTCTTTTGAGATGGGGGTCTCATGTTAAACTTGTGATTCTCCTGCCTCCACAACTGAGCACCTGAGTGCTGGGATTACAGACATGTGTTGCCATGCCTGCTTTGTTTCTGGGCTTCAAGCCCTGGACTTTGCCCATGCTGGGAATCACCCTTCCAACCAACTTATCCACATCTCTTGGATCTTTCTCTCTCTCTCTTTTTTTTTTTTTTCTGGATGGATTCCAGGGTTTTGTGATGTTATATAAGTGTTGTGTCACTAAACCACCCCATGGGTCCCTTCCTCTTCTTCCTTTTCAATTCTCAGCCATAAAAAGGGTGAATTTGCTCTGCCAAGACCTCTCTACCATGATGTGCCACAAGGCCAAAGCAATGGTACCCGTTGGTCATGAATTGGGATCCCAAAACAGTGAGCCAGCGTAAACTGTTTCTAATCTGATTACTGTGGGTGTGTTTCAGAGTGAGGGAAAGTTGATTCCCACTCCTCAGCAGCCAGCTGACCAGTGCAGAGGGAAGAATTAGAAAGTCCCTACTGGTGGGACTTTAATCCAAGTACTTGGAGAGGCAAAGGCAGAAGGATCCCCATGAGGTTAGTTTGGTCTACAAAGCAAGTTCCAGGCCAGCCAGAGCTACATAGTGAGACCCTGTTTCAAAAAAAGGAGGAGGAGGAAAAGAAAAGAAACAGTTTTAGCACACCCACAAGACACAGTTTCTTTCTTCCTTTTTTGTTTTTGGTTTTACGAGACAGGGTTTCTCTGTATTGTTTTGGAGGTTGTCGGTCCAGCCTGGCCTCGAACTCACAGAGATCCGCCTGCCTCTGCCTCCCGAGTGCTGGCATTAAAGGCGTGTGCCACCACCGCCCGGCTCTTTCTTTTTTTTAAGACAGTTTCTTTCTTTCTTTCTTTCTTTTTTCCGAGACAGGGTTTCTCTGTATTGTTTTGGAGGCTATCCTGGAACTCCCAGCTCACAGAGATCCGCCTGCCTCTGCCTCCGGAGTGCTGGGATTACAGGCGTGCGACACCAACGACCGGCAACAAGACACATTTTCATTGCAAAGTGTAAAGCAGTAAGGCCACAGTAGTTCTGGCTCAGTGTGGATTAACAATATAGCAGGGCAACTGTAAAAATGCTATGTAGCAGTGGTTATGGGAACGCATTCTCCCAGCCTTACCTTTTTTCTCTTATAACTGTCTAATAAAAATGTCTTGGACTGGGGCATGGTGGCACATACCTTTAGTCCTAGCAGAAGCAATGGATATCTTTCAGTTCTAGGCCAGCCTGGTCTACATAGTGAGTTCCAGGATAGCCAAGGCTACAGAGAGTCTGTGCCTCAAAACAAACAAATAAATAAACCCTTAAATAAATAAAACATCATATACCAAGATTAGTGACAACATGGTGTTATCAACCATTTCTTTTTTTCTTTTTTGGGGAGTACGGTGGGGTTAGAGACAGGGTTTCTCTGTGTAACAGCCCTGACTATCCTGGAACTCAATCTGTAGTCCAGGATGGCTTCAAACTCAGAGATTTGCCTGCCTCTGCCTCCCAAGTGCTGGGTTAAAGGCATGTGCACCACCACCACACCCGGTCATCAACCATTTCTTCCACCTATAATTTTTTTCTCTCTGTCTCACTTGGCCCTAGGCTGCTGGTTCCCCAGGCCCACAAAGGCTGCTCTGTTTCTTTGTTCTGGGAGCACTGGAGCTGGGGCAGGAAAGTTCGAGGGGGCACAATCCCCATGGGACACTCACTGCCGAGTGCCGGGCCTCTAAAGCTTTAATGCTTTTTCCATGTTGCCTGAAGGCTGACCTCACTCTATGGTAACAGCAAAATTAGCTTGAGTTTCTTCTACCTTCCTCACAATTTCATAGATTTGTTTTTCTCCACAGACCTTGGCATCTGAGATGATTTTGTCTTTTCCTTATTAAGCTGGAGATGTCCACATTTTCAGGGAAGGAGACATTCTTTGACCCCTTTGTCTGTGTTGAGCAGCATCATTGCTTTGGGGATTGAGGGTCACTTGAAAACAAGCACTGGATTCTGTGGCCGTGGATTTGATAACTGGGAGCTTTGCCATGGGATTAGTGGGGTCAGTTCTGTATGCAGCACAGATACACTGGACAATTCCCATTCTAGATTGGATGAAGCAGACAGTGTGAGGTTTTCATTATACAATTTAAGACAGTAGTTAATGATTTCTAGAATTTTCCCTTCAATGTTTTTAGACCACAACCGAGTATGAGTAACTGAGATCACAAATAACAGGGAAATGACCTGACTATATCAAGTAGATAAGAGACATGGATATAAAAGGTGCCACTGAAAGGTTCTGGAATCAGCCGGGCGTTGGTGGCGCACGCCTTTAATCCCAGCACTCAGGAGGCAGAGGCAAGCAGATCTCTGTGAGTTTGAGACCAGCCTGGACTACCAAGCGAGTTCCAGGACAGCCTCCAAAGCCACAGAGAAACCCTGCCTCGAAAAACCAAAAAAAAGAAAAGGTTCTGGAATCCTACAGAAACTGAGCAGGAGTGGCTTCCAGAGAAGGTTGGGGCTTTCTACCTTCCTGCCTAATGGATATCTGAGTCATCATCCATTGCTTTTATGAAGACAGACGGAGTGGTGCAGCTGGCTCTGTGCCCTCTGGAGCAGGAAGGTATGAGTGCTCCTGAGGGCTAGGTGTTGTCCCATTCTGTAGAGTCAATCAGCCTCTGGGAGCTTGGAGTGGAGGGACACAAGCGGCAACTATGTCAGTAAGAAGTAGACACAAAATCAGGTTTTCTGAAAAGGGAGAGAGAGATACCCCGGGGTTGTTGTGCTCTGGCAAAGCAAGACCCTAGGTAACCCGTTCAGGCCTCCATTTACCCCAGACTATGAATGACTGGCACCTGTATGGTGCTAAGCCACCACACTTGGCTTATTATCACTTTCTAACTGAATGTTCCAGAACATTCTAGCCTTGGTGATGGTCTTTCCAGAAAGCCTATCTGGTACACACCTTTAGTCCCAGCACTTAGGAAGCAGAGACAGGTGGATCTATGTGAGTTGGAGATTATCCTGGTCTACTGAGAGAGTTACAGGACAGCCTCCAAAGCTCCAAAGAAACCCTGCCTCGAAAAACAACAACAACAAAAATTGTAATCCAGGTCCTTACCTACACCAAGCAAAAGTTTCTCTATTTTAGATGATTGAAAGGAGCTTTGTGGTCGGGCGGTGGTGGCGCATGACTTTAATCCCAGCACTCGGGAGGCAGAGGCAGGCAGATCTCTGTGAGTTCGAGGCCAGGCTGGACCAACAGCCTCCAAAACAATACAGAGAAACCCTGTCTTGTAAAACCAAAAAAAAGAAAAGAAAAAAAAAAAAAAAAGAAAGGAGCCTTGTGTAAGGACTCAGGTATTATGCTGGCCTGCCCCTGTCACCTGGCAGAATGCACTCAGGCAGTACTCAGGTCAGCCCAGGGTTCCATGAGTGCTAGTCTGCACGCAGGTGCAAAGGACCCTTTAAAAGACCCCAGACCCCCACCCACTTATGCTCTCTTCTCCTCTGGCCCTCTCTCTGCTCTTTGCTCTCTTGCCCTTTGCCTCTCTCTCTCTCTCTCTCTCTCTCTCTCTCTGTCTCTCTCTTCCCCCTCTTTCTCCCCCTCCCCACAATAAACTCCACAGTTGAAGTATCTCCTGGTTCGTGTTCCATAGAGCCCGTCTTTAACTTAAACAAAAGAACAACACTTTGGCCATGAGCAAAGAGGAGGGTGCTCTGGAGAGCTGTGCAGGTCTTTGACCCTCAGGCAATCAACCTTTCCTGGGGTCCCACTCAGAGATATCAGATGCTAGGGTCCTAGGTGTTCCGGAATGGTAGGTTCCTTAGCTTCTCTCTTTCAGGATGAGGAGGAAAGTTACCACCTTTTCTAAGTCAGACAGAACCAGTCTAAGTAAATGAAGGCCAGAAAAGGCTCTTCAGAGCAGGTGTAGCCCTTTCATCCCATCCTGCCTCTACCTAGTTCACTGAATGGTGACAAAAGTCAGTAGTGTGTCTTGCTAAGTCTTACAGGCCAGGGCCTGCTCTGTCTGGATCTACTCACACAGTTACTGAGGGATGATTCCTCCCCACCCCTGCCCCATGCAGGGACATTGACCCCCCTAGATCCAGGACCCAGGCAGGACTTAGGGCCCAGAGCTCTGCTGCCCTATCCTGTAGGAGGATAGAGAGAGAGCAATAGGCACAGCCTCAAGGGTCTGGGTCCAGGCCCACCCACTGCATTCCTTCTGGTGGGAAGCCTAGCCGACAGATCAGGCTCCTGGGTAGATGTGGTGAGGTGTGAAAGGAGCAGGGGAAGGGGAGCAGGGAGGGAGGAGGGGAGAAGGGGGGGAGGGAACAGGGAGCGGGGGAGGGGAGCAGGGTGGCAGGAAGTACAACAGTTATGTGGGGTGGAGGGGAAGCAGGTCTGGTGTAAGAGGAAGAGGAGGCAGGAATCTGAGGTGTAGGAAGGGCACCTGGCTCTATCTACTGAACTGTTTGCTCATCTAAGTCACTGATAGCCCAGGTGACCCTGGTGGCCAAGTCACAGGAGGCAGATCTTACTGTTAATGGTCATTACAGCCCCAAGAGACAAAGACAAGCCCTAGCCCTGACTGGGACCCTCACCTGGGTGCCTATCCTTATGGATTCAAGATGGAGAGGATGGCCACGCCGGGCTCTGCAGAGCCACGCTGGCACCCCAACAACACTGCAGGAAGGGAAAGCAGACAGTGCTATGGGACTAGAGGGTCCCTGTCCCCACAAACACACTTCACTGGGGATGATGTACATCATTCACCTCAGCATGGCTCAGGGCCAGGCAAAGCTTGTCCCCAAAAAGTCACATGCCTAGGAGTACCCCAGATGGAGCCCGATTCTGAGCACACACCCACATCACCACCAGCATTCTTCCCACAGGCTCAGAAACATGTTCACCCAAGTGCAGCGAGATTAGAGAAGCTAGTGAGAACCTGACAAAGTTATGTGGGAGGCTACTCGTGGTCAGGGTTGGGATGCCCTACATCTTCTGAGCCACTAGGTAGAAGGGTCAGGATGCCCTACAGCTTCTGAGTCACTAGGTAGACGATTGACTGACCAACTCGGCTACTAGGGCTCATGGAGCTGGTCAGTTATCATCTGGTATAGACTCAGGCCCCAGAGGCAGCCCGACAGCTCATACCAGAGTCACAGATGACAGGGAGAGGGCTCAGGGGTCTACTTTACAGTGCCAAGAAAGAAAACGAGGCAAGGGAAAACTGAAACCCTGGATTGTCCAGACTCCATGTCCCAGTCCCAGCCTCTCACCTGACTTGGGGAATGTCACCAAGAGGATGTCTGTGTCCTGGAACTGGAAGGCACAAGCCGCTTTCAGGGACTCCAGAGTGTGTATGAACCCTGGGAAGCGGATGCCATCGAAGATTTCAGTGGTGTTCATGCGTTCACTCATGCTGGTCCTGGCAGGAGTGGGGCTGTAGGTGAGGGAGTCTGTTATCCAGGGCTCAAGCTCTTTTCAGCAGGTGCAAGCCAGTCTGCCATTCCATCCTTAGGATGCTGAGATCGGTCCACACCAGGTGGCTGCTGGTATTATTCTCAGGCATCTTTGGAGGACCACCTCAGAACCTTGGTCAGACTTGCCTGTCTTCTGATCCAAGGAGGTCCCAATCCTCTTTGGGCATACAGATCTCTGTGCTTTGGCTTTGGGCTGGTGGTGGCATCTGTCTGGCCTTGAGACTGTGGCCCATTATTGGCAGAATTCTGCCTTGGCCCCCAGTTCTTGGCCACTTGTATGCATGGATGTCTCTCAGCTGCTGCTAACAAGTTTGCTAACTTGTGTGGTTGTGACATATTGTGAACAACCTTGTGGACTTGGGAGCTGCTCATCTGATTCCCAGAGGCCGCAAAGCAGCAGTGGGAACTGTGTCCAGAAGCTTCATCTATCAGAGAGACAGTTCCCACCCACACCCTCCCTTTAGTCTTCCCCCACAGCTGCCCTGCCTGGGCTGACAAGAATGTCTCTGCTGAATCCTGCAGCAGCCCCTGACATTAGTCCCACCTCCCGTGTCCCCTAGGAATCCCCACTCACCACAAAGTTCTTCTCTGTGAGCTGTGCCTCGCTGTCTGCAAACAGCCCAGCCCTAGAAAACGTGGCTCAGGCTCTACTTGGGCAGTTCCAAAGAGGCTCCACCCTGGGAGCTGCAGGACCCTGGGGCCGATGACTGCGGGGTGCCCCGCCCCCAACCAGACCCATTTGGGGGAGGGGCTGGGAATAGCGCCCCCATAGGCAAGCAGTAAGTGGAAAATCTTCAGGATAGAAGCCGTTCTTGAGAGGACTAAGTTTAACGGTGACCTGTTACCACCCAGTTTTCCTTTTTGAAAAACGCTCCCCTGAGGAGGCACTGGCCAGGAGGGGCCCCGGAGGGGGCAGTGCAGCATCCCTTTCTCGGTATTTTGACAACGCAAGAGGGCAGATTTCTCTGCCACCCTAGAAACCACGTTGTTTATGTAAGTTTTACACTGTATTAGTACTGTACAAAGCATTCAGTGCTCTAACAAAGTATGTCCAGGAAGACTTTTCCATCTCCCGCCAACGCCAGCCACGAGCCAGCCACCAGCCACCACTTCCCTGGCCTCACAGTTTCGTTAGGCAGCTGCAAGAAGCACAAAACTATCTTACTGCCTACAATACTACTCGCAACAACCACTTCTTCCATTTTCTCAGGATATATTTTTTTTTTTTTGGTTGGTTTGGGTTTTTGTTCAGTTTTGAGCCAAAACGGCAGGGTGCTCCATCCTCTCTGTCTTATAGGTGGTGAGTCATTATCTACACAAACCCGTGAAGCACATGCTGACCTTGTGTCCACTTGTCCTTGACTGGTCCCTCTTTTCAGATTTTTCCAAGGAGAAATCAGCTCGCAATCTCAAACCCAGACAGACAACAGCCAAGTTCTCCAAAGGTTCAATTAAACTGACTTCACTAATTTACACACCATGTGATTACTTCAAGCATGGCTGGGACAGACAACAGTTCAGGCAGGCTTCCTAAAAACTCCTTTTGAGCCTCTCAAAGTAAACCTGTGTCCTTCCCAGACAAGAGTTACACAGGCCTATCATCATCCCTTGCTTCATTTGTTCATGAATAGGCTGATATATGAGCACTCTTTTGTGTCTGAGCTTGTTCCCTCTGCGGTTTTGTTCCTGACTTTCATCCATGTCACCGTATGTACAGACAGTTCCACCACATGGTTGTGCTATGCTCCATTGTGTAGATATTTGGTCACCCATTCACTGTGTGTTGATGGAACTGGGGCCTGTTTTTTTGTTTGCTTTTGTTTTGTTTTGTTATGTTTGGTTTTTGTTTTTTTTTGTTTTTTTATTTATTTATTACATATATACCAGATTGAATTGTAGATGGTTGTCAGCCACCATGTGGTTGCTGGGAATTGAACTCAGGACCTCTGGAAGAGCAGTCAGTGCTCTTAACCTCTGAGCCATCTCTCCAGCCCCCTGTTTTTTTTTTTTTTTTCAAGACAGGGTTTCTCTGTGGCTTTGGAAGCTGTCCTGGAACTAGCTCTTGTAGACCAGGCTGGCCTCGAACTCAGAGATCCGCCTGCCTCTGCCTCCCGGGTGCTGGGATTAAAGGTGTGCGCCACCACTGCCAGGCTACACCAGGCCTGTTTCCAGTTTAATAGCTTTGTTGAGATGTAGTTCATATAGTGGGTTTAGGATGTAGCTCAGTTGGAAGAGTGCTTGCCTAACAGTCAGGAACATTAGATTCACTCCCTGGCATTGTATATATATGGTGATACATGCCTGTAATACCAGCACTCAGGAGGTAGAAAAGAAAAAATTTAGGGTCATCAGCTACATAGTGAATTTGAGGCCAGCCTGGGCTACATGAGATGCTATCTCAAAAAGGGCTGGGGGACTAGAGACATGAGTCAGCAGTTTATTGTACTCTTGAAAAGGACCTGGCTTCAGTTATTCAGTTCTCAGCACCACATTGTGGCTCACAACTATCTGTAACTCCAGCTCCAGGGGTTTTGATGACTAGGACATTCTTCTGGCCAGCAAAGGTACTGCACCCACGTGGAACAAATACATACAAAACACTCACACTATTGAGGAGCCACTGAGTATGAACAAAACAATGACCCACTTTGGAAAACAGCAGGTCTGCCTTGGTTTAGGGAGGAAAGACCCACAGGTGTAAGGATTTTGGGATGTCAGTGTGTGGTAGTCCTAAGACACAGAAGACACCCTGGACTGTATAGCACTATGAGAGATAAGTTTACTTAAGAGTCTGAGGAGCTCCAGGTACTGATTGACTCGGGAAGGACAGGCAAGTGGGGAGAATGGTGTGGACACGGGTCATCATAAAGGAATCCCTGGCTGGGGCATCGGACCCTTAATCACAGCAGGATGGAATCATAATTTTTTGGGTAATTCATGCTTGCTCAAGAGCAATCTCTCAAGGGCAACTGGACTGTGTTCCTGGACACTGTAACGCTTGTGAACTTGGAGAGGTAATCATACTGTTTGGACTTTATCCTTCCCTCATGGTAGCATAAGTACAAGGGATGAGAGCTCTCTCAGGCAACACGTTTTGTGGTAGCAAATAATTAGAAACACTCTAAGTGGGCCTGGCAGAGTGACACAAAACTTTAATCATTTAGGAGGCTGAGGCAGGAGGATCATAGTAAGTTTGAGTCCAGTCTGGGCTACAGAGTGATCACTACAGCTGATAGCCCTTCGCTGTGCTGGGGAAGTTTCCTTTTTCAGTCTGTTAGACACTGGGACAGTCTTGCTATAAAAATGTACATATCTGCACTGTATCCTTTGTTTTTGGGGTTTTTTTTTGTTGTTTTTTTGTTTTTTGTTTGTTTGTTTTTTTTTGTTTTTGTTTTTCGAGACAGGGTTTCTCTGTATTGTTTTGGAGGCTGTCTTAGAACTCACTCTGGAGACCAGGCTGGCCTCGAACTCACAGAGATCCGCCTACCTCTGCCTCCCGAGTGCTGGGATTAAAGGCTTGTGCCACCAACGCCCGGCTGTTTTGTTTTTTGTTTTTTTTTTTTTTTTTTTTTGATTTTTCGAGACAGGGTTCCTCTGTATTGTTTTGGAGTCTGTCCTGGAACTCGCTCGGTAGACCAGGCTGGCCTCGAACTCACAGAAATCCACCCGTCTCTGCCTCCTGAGTGCTGGGATTAAAGGCCTGCGCCACCACCGCCCGGCTTGTATGTATATCTTAAGTACTCCTGTATGTACACTGTATTTCTTTTTTTTTTTTTTTTTTTTTTTGGTTTTTTCAAGACAGGGTTTCTCTGTATTGTTTTGGAGCCTGTCCTGGAACTCGCTCGGTAGACCAGGCTGGCCTCGAACTCGCAGAAATCGACCCGTCTCTGCCTCCCGAGTGCTAGGATTAAAGGCGTGCGCCACCAACGCCCGGCTGTACACTGTATTTCACAGCTAAAATGTTTACTACAAAGAAGGAAGGTTTTCTTGTCCTAATATGACTGTGTTCAACTAGCAGACTAAGGCTCTTGCACTCTAGGAGGGAAATACCATGTGCATTGCCATCTGAGAGGCTACCTCAAGGATGCCCACAGGAAATGTGGAAACTAATGAAAATGACTCCATCCTGGGGAGAGGATTGGTATTCTAGTACATAAGGGCTCAGAAAGGAAGGGGTAGGAAAGAAAGCATTTCAGTACCATTGTTTCCTTCTCCCTGTCTCCTCTTCTTTCTTCCTGGCCCTCATGCCTGCACCCCTCCTCCCCAATAAAAGAACACAGGTGGAAACTGGGCTAGGAGAGGTCTGGGAGGAAAGGCAGGTGGTGGGGTGGAGCCAGCATCTAGGAGGCCTGGAGCTGCCCAGGCTAGAAGGGCCTTTCTGAGACAAACCTGTGTATCGCTGGGGTGAGTGGGCTTGGGGGCAGAGGACGGGTGGGGACTCAGTGGGCACTGTCCTAGAGAGTTACCCTCTGGAGGGAAGAGTTGTCCCCGTCAGCAGGGCACTGTTGGAGCCTAGAAACAGATGTTCAGGAAAGGGTTATCCACTGGCTATGGGGGGGTGGGAGAGCTGTCTTGGCGATGACCTTTTGTGGTCTGGTTGTCTTTAGAGTGATGAGTCCTGGTCTCTGCCCGGAGACTCCAGCCTCTTCCTCACCCCTCTGCTATCCTCTTTGCCTCTTTGTGCTCCTTCTCTGTTTCCCTTGAGACTCTTTGGGGTGAGGACCAGGTGCAGTTCATACACTGTTAACTTTAGTGGCATTGGAACAGGGGCTGTGTTCATTCTCTCTGAGCTCAGAATGTTCTGTCCTCCTGGCAGCAGTAGTCCTGCAACAGTGGTGACACAAGCAGCACGAGAACATTCAGGGAACAGGATTCATATGAACGTAAAGGCATGTCCTCTGCTATGTCTTCTTTTGGTATGCCAAGCCTAAACACTTAAGCCCTGATGCTTGCAGCTGTCTGGACTGGTTCTGGTCTACACTGAATCTTTGGGTACCTCTGTCTGGCCACACGCTTCAGTCTTCTTCAGGCAACACTCATTTAAGACAGACTTTAGTCTCAGTACTCAGGAAACAGAGGCAGGGGGATCTCTGTGAGTTTGAAGCCAGTCTGGTCTACAGAGCAAGTTCCATCGCTACCCAGTCTGTCTCACTGACCACAAAAACAACTCTGTAACATAGACAAAATTGTACAGGAAGAGGGGCCAGAGCTCAGTGGAGGAGTGCATGCCTAGCCCGTGGAAGGCTCTGGAATGAAAACACAGCATGATTGTATTACAAGCCCTGGTGATTATCCTTTGATTTGATTTGAATTTCTTTTGGTTGTTTGTTTGTTTGTTTGACTGAATGACTATGTTTCTTGAGACAGTCTCTCTATGTGGTCCTGACTGTACTGGAACTCACAAAGATCAGCCTGTCTCTGTCTCTGGAATGCTAGGATTAAAGGTGTGGGCTGCACATTCAGCTTTAAATTTTCTCTTAAATCCCTTTTCCCCCCTAAGCAGCCATATTATTTTTTCTTTGATCATTTAATCACCTCTTTTCTTTAGATGCTAAAGGGAAGGTGGAGGCCTGGTTCCTTAGTGTCACAGAACATTTTTTCCAGAGAGATAGATAATCTCAGGTCCAAACTGGGTCTTGGGGCAGATCCTGCTGAAACACCATAGCCACGTGACTTCATGGAATAGAGAATTTCAGTGTAAAGCAAATGAGGGCATCTCCCCAGAAATGGGATGAACTGCCCCCTGAGATAGAAGGAGCTGCCCCCTGGATGGGATGAACTGCCCC